GTCCAAAGAAAATGACAACATCCTCACAAATTCCATCAAAGAAAAAAGTAAACTTAATCCAAAAATCAGGACTCAAATTACTAAAGGAATAGAAGATGAAAAAATAAATAAACAAGAATACAAAGTCCATAAGCTGAAAAACCTTGACCAAAACCCAGGACGATGGCGGTTACCACATTTTCTATCTCTTGCAGTAAATGGTAAAAGGAAGGCAGAAACCGTCATTGAGGATTCCCCATCAAAGAAAGCAAAGCGCATCAATGATGGTATGAACTCATTACTGCTTGTCTTGTAAGATATCCAGTGATCCTGAAGACGCCTTTACACATCTCGCTGCTTTATTCCTCTTTAGGATTTTGTCTTTTCGTTGGAAACCTCAACAGCTCTAAAAATTCTGAAGAACTGAAAGAGTCACTAGAAAAATATCTCATGTCACAAAATCTTCTGTTCAAAGACATCAGATTGGACCAATCCAGGTGAGTATGTTTTCTTAATTTATGCTTTATTTTTTTATTTTCATTTTATTTATTTATTTATTGCTGCTACATAAAGTACATAAAGTGATTTTCTGCTGTTACAGGAAACATGCATTTGTAGATTTGCTCTCAGAAATGGACCTGACTAAAGCCTTGACATCAAATGGGGAGGTGCTGCTCGATAAACCAATGAAGATCGCCAAAGCAAAGATCAAAAGTGCAAAAAAAGTGAAGGTGAAATCTCCTGAACTAAAAAAGCAAGGTAAAAATGACCAAATAGATTTGTTTAATGTGCGTTGATTAAATTAATGAACTTCTTATCGAACTTTAAGAATGTGCATTTGTCACATAGTATAAGAGATGGATCTGGCCTCTGGTAGTGAAAAACCAATGTGGAAGTTCCTTGAGCCTTCCAGTCCTATAGGAATCTGTGGCAATGGTCATTAGCAGGAACCTTTGTAAACACTTTCTTAGTGAGTTTAAAATATAAAACATTGTGAGGATCAAAATAGTAATATAAGCTTTATATATTTAAAAAAAGTGGAACTTTCCTGTATTTTTGCAGCCAGAGATGCCAGATGTTTGTTTGTAAAGAACTTGCCTTACAACGTAACGAAGGAAGACATTCTGAAGGTCTTCCACAAGGCCATCGCCATCCGGTTTCCTGGTGGAACTGAAGGCCCAACCCAAGGGTGAGAGTTTTGAACAGGAAGTTGTCAGATGAGGAAGTCATTCATTACTTGTTTATGCTTTGAAAGGGGGACCTATTATGCTTTCATGTTAGAATGGTGGAAGTTTATATTAAAGCTGAGATTCTAATGATGAGGTCATAATGTGTACAAGTAATCCCTGTGAGCTAAAAGTTGAAGCTTGAATCTGCTTTAAACTCGTAGTATGATGACGCCACCAAGAGGGGATATCCTTATATGGTCCTCTTGCAATGGCTATGGCAAAAGCCCCACCCACCTGCTGTTTAATCCTTTTGTTTATGACGAAGAGCCAATCAGAACCAGGTTAGCATAAAGGCTGTTAGTGAATGCGCTAAGGCTTAGTATTAGATCATTAATGGTATTTTTAAAAGGGAATCAGGCAAAGCTTTCTACGAGAGTTCAAAGAGATAACATTAAAGATATTAAGCTGAAAATGAATATAATAGGTGCATTTTTAAAGATTGTTTATAACAAGTGAAATGTCTTTATTTTTCAACAGAATTGCCTTTTTGGAGTTCAAAAACACAAGCATTGCTAGGAAGGTACAGAAGCAAAAACAAGGAGTGACGATCCAAAAGAGGGTTTTGATTTTGAACTGTGTAGGAGAAAAAGGTGCTTGTAGAGTCACTAAAGCTGATGTGGAAAACAAAAGGAAAAAAGGTAAGTGAAATCAGTGAAGCTGTTTGAATATTCTTTTTTAGTAAATTTAATGTGGACTTTGCATGTTCTGACCTCCTTACAGATAAAAAGGCCTTGCAGTCATCCCAAAATATTGAGGCCGGCAAAAAAGAAGCCAAAGAAGAATCGTGTGAAAAGCCAGAGAAAGCAAAGGGTATCATCTCATTATCTTGATGTTTTCAGATTGGCTGCTTGATTACAGAAGTGTGGCGTTTGTGATGTCAGTTTGAGTAAAACAGCGGCGTTAAATTATTAAATGTTTCTTTTCTAGTCCTGTCAAAAACACTGATCGTCATGGGCCTCGCTGAGAAGACGAGTCCAGAGATGCTCAAAAGTGTCTTTGAAGGAGCCGTCAACGCAAGAGTCACTGTAAATAAGAAAGACGTTTCAAAGAGGTCTGTAGTGCGAAGCTGTCTCTTTACTGTGTTAACTGCTTAAACTGAGTTCACGATTCTCACTTGGATGCATTTTACATTTCATTTTTGTCAGGTTCGGCTTTGTGAACTTTGGCAGCGATGAAAGTTGCAAAGCTGCTAAAGAGGCTATGGAGGACTGCGAGCTAGATGGCTGCAAAGTGACTATCGCTTATGCATATCCCAAGGGTAAAAAAAGTCGGCGAGCCTAAGGAGGCTTGGAGGGGGATCCCGATGGAAAGTCTGCAGGTCTGTAAGCTGGCAAAGAAGGAAGAAAGTTGACAGGTGGAAGAGCGAGGACAGGAGGAAAGACGTAACCTACTGCCTCATAAAATGCTCATTATGGAGAGGTCAGCAGACTATAGTGTAGACTGTGTGATCACACACAGAGGGATGAAGTCCCCTTTAGCTTCACTGTAGCGCTTTACTGTCTTTTACTTCATTGTTTTGTTTTTGTTTTGCTTCTTTGCTCAAACCCTGAATTAAATCCACTGTAGTCCACAGAGTTTTTCTTCTTGTTTGTTAGTGAGTACAACTTGATGATGCTATTTTCACTTTGGGTTAGATTTTCTACACCGACATGAAAAGTATGTAAAGAATAATGTACCTAATTCAATTCCAGTACCAAAAAAGTTGGGCCACTGTGTAAAATGTAAGCAAAAAAATAAAATCCAGTGATTTTCAAATCTCGTAAATCTATATTTTATTCAGAGTAGAACAATTCAGTTCATTTTTATTTTTATATATCGCCAAATAACAACACAGAAAAAGAACATAGAAAACCTGTCAAATATTTAAACTGAAGACATTTATCATTTTAAGAAAGAAAAATCTGTTTGAGTTTGACGGCAGCAACGTGACATGCTCGTGTTTACCACTGTGTAGCATCCCGTCTTCTTTAAGCAACAGCGCATAAACATCTGGGAACTGAGGAGACCAGCTGCTGAATTTGGGAGAAGAATGTCGTCCTATTGTTGTCTCGGTGATTGTAGCTGCTCAACAGGCCAGTCCAGATCGTCACTATGGAGCTGCGCTGCTGTAATAGATGCAGCACGCGCTTTAACATTATCCTGCTTAAGTATGCAAGACTTTCCCTGAAAAACACGTCTTCTGGATTGGAGCATATGTTGCTCTAATACCTGTATATAGCTTTCAGCATTGATGGTGCTTTTCCTGATGTGCAATCTGGCAGTTCCAGAGCACTAATGCACCCCCATACCATCAGAGCTGAACTTAGCTGAGAGAAGACGACAGTAGTGCCGCCTGAGGTCCATTCGCAGATGGTGTATTATAGTTTGCACACACACAGATTTCTCCAGATTATTTTGAAGATATTATGTACTGTAGATGATGAGATATTTAAAGAATAGAGAATTTCAGAACGGTGAACCTCTGCCCGTCTTTACGTCTGAGAACTTCTGCCTCTCTAAGATACTCTTTTTAAACCAAATCACGTTACTGACCTGCTGCTGATTAACACAATTCATTTTAAATTGTTCCTCCAGGTGTTTCTTTTTAGTACCGCTTAATCTTTTAGCCTCTTGTTGCCCTGTTCCAATGCTTTTAAAACATAAAACTCAAAATGACATCATTTTGCACTTGGTGCTCACTATGGACCGACTTTGTTTTAGACAATCATTCTGTGCGTCCTTCTGATGATCTGATGACTTTTGCAGGTTTTAACAAGCGCTGTGCTCGCTGCTGGGTTCGGCATTCTGAGGGAAGAATAGAGCAAAGCAGGCAGAGCTTTAGTAGATCTGCAGAGCTTTTTGGAGTAACACTAACAAATTTAAGCTGTTTACACACATTGCTGACCCGCAACAAGCTACATGACTGAGCTGTGCCTAGCTTGCACTTTGCTTGGTGCTGGGACAGACTGCTGTGGCACAGTGAAAAATGACATTGCACAACATGTGCCAGACTACAAATGGAAAGCTTGCAGTACTACAAATCTGCAGAATCATATGTAGATATATTCAAGACAACAGACTAAGACTGTTCGGCTATTATTAAACTTAAACTAAAACCTGTCCAGATAAGGATTTAATTTGGAGTTTACTTTTTTATCATTTTGTGCTTTGACCTAAATTTTAATTGGCTATTTAGCTTTGATTCAGATCAAATGGAAACTAAGTTAATGTATATGTTTGTTTCAGGAAAAGGACGCAGAGGTGGATCGCAGGATGCTGAACTTTGAATATATGACTTCTTTTCTCTTGATTTAATGTGAAGCCTGTGTGTTTCTGTAAAATGGTCAATACTCGTGCATCTGACAGCTTTAAATTCAGTTGTCATATTTTGCACTTTAAACCGTTCATCTTATAAATATATAAAAACTCATGAAAGAAGCCCGCCTTGTTGGCACTCATGTAACGTCATTTCATGTCAAAACGTCTGTGAAGGTTCTCAGTCATCCAGGTCATCGTAGTCAAAGGAGCTATTTCCAAGCAAAGGAGCTTCTTTCCAAGCTCCTTTGACTTCATGTCAAAACGTTTATTACGATTTGATAAGATGATGAAATAGATTTTTGAAACAAAACCAAGTTTTTTTTTGTGTGTGTTTTATTTTTAACATCTGCAATAAAGAGATAAAAGGTTAACTTGGTGAAACTTCTTAGCGGCCTCCGTCCTGAAACAACACCACCCTCACGGCTAAACGTGCCCCAATATCAAACCACGAATAACCAGTCTGAATACTGCGAGTCAGCCTTGCACACGATTCGTTGCAACTTGCAGAAATTCGCCCCAAAAGCGGTGTCCTTCAGTGACCTCACATCCTGTTTTCCCCACTTCCTTGTAAATGGACCGGTTTGGGACGGTCCGGGTCGCCTCGCAGCGTGGATCTCTTGCTGTGTCCACCGCGCGTTTCTCCAGACACTCGCTGCACGATCCGCAGTGTTTGCGGGCTGCAGAGGGCATCCAAGCAAACTTTAATGCAGCAGCTCCACCATGCAGGGGCTGATCTGATCCAGCAGAGAGAGTGGAGGCATCGGTAAGTCGGCAGCTCGCATGAATCCACGCTCGTTTACGCGATGATTGTAACGTTTTTGGACGCTTTCAGCAAAAAATGCGCCAAATCTCAGTTTAGCGACAGCTTGCGAAACTTTTTGACGACTTTGAGCCATGTTGGTGAAAGTTAGAGAGACTGGAAAGTGCTTTGCGTCCACTGATCATGCCCGATAGGCTGTGATTAAAACCGTGGAAATCTGTGTTTTTTCTGCTCTTACACTCAAACATCAACAGTTGAAATTTTCGCATTTAAAGCAGCGCGTTTATCGCTTTGGTTGTCGGATTTGTTAAATATGGCTCAAGTGGGGCTGGCATGTGGTGGAGACACCTTTTAGAGGATTCACACACCTGGGTCTGTGTGGGCTGCATGTGCTGAAGGGTTTAAGCTGTCATGTTGCACATGTGTACTTGAACAGCTCGGCTAAATCCCTGCTACACATTCAGGACTGGCTTTGATTTGGACACTCCAATATATTTAAGATCAAGCTGTTGGGAAGCCATTGCTTACATAGAGTGTCAGATTCTTGCAGAGTGCAGCAGTGTTTCAGTTTTATTTATTTCATATCTGCCCCTACAAGTTTTCCTGGCACAGAGAAGCACCGTGTGTTCACTTTTAGTGACTTTTTAATGGTGATAAAGTGGTTTTATATACAGATAAAGGGAAAGTTAAAGGAAAAGCCAATATAAAGGCTGTTGGTAAGGTGTTTGGACAGAACTGCTTTTATGCACATCTGCTGGTTGTCCACAAGCTCCACTGGAGGAATTAACAACTTTAGCTAAAAGATATTGTCTCATATCAGATCTGATAACTATGAAGGGTGTAGTTTATGATTTCTATCCTTATCAAATCTGGAAGAGACCAATCTCATCTCTTATCGTCTTCATTTATGCACTCTACTTGGTTTCTGCTCCTTTACCATGAATTTGTGCATGTGTGAGTTCAGTCTGTGGCAGTACTGAGGTGTTACTGAAGCCCAGGTTGCTTTGATAGTGGGCTCCAGCTCCCCTTGTTTTTGGGTTGTCTCACCTTCTTTTATAGATTCTTTGTGGTGTTTGAATCAGGTGAGTTGGCTGGCCAATCAAGCTCTAATAGTAGATGGCTGTGTTGACCTTGAATCTGATAAAAAATAAAGTGGACCAACCACCACCGATGCCAGCAGATCACAGACTGCAGAAACTTTACACTGGATTACAAACACCTCGGGTTCTTTGCCTCTCTGCTCTTCATCCAGACTCTATGCCAAATTTACTTCTGTTTTAAAAGAGGATTTTGGACCGCTGAGCAGTTCGTTTTCTCGTTAGCTCAGGTAAGACATTTCTGAATCCCTGGTTCAGGTGTGGCTTCCTATTATGACTCTCGTCGCTCCTTTCCTGAGGACCTCTGTTCCCGGTGGCTGTAGATGCAGACACCAGTCTAAGTTCACTCCTCTTGAAGCTCTCCCAAGTTCTTGACTTAACTTTTCTTCACAGTCACCTTAAGGCTGAAGGTGCTTGTGCGCCTTTTCCCTTCCAGTCAGCTTTCTGTTGATGTGCTTCTATACCGCACTCTGAGAACAGCCAGCCTTTTCAGCTGTGACCTCCTGTGGTTCACCCTGCTCGTGGAGGATGTCGATGATCATCATCTGGGCAACTGTGAAGTCAGCCGGCTTCCCCATGATTGTGGTTGCGTGTACTGAATTAGACCAAGAGGTACACAGTATTTACACTGTTTAAATAATAATTCACCCAAACCCCAAATGAAATCTTTGAATACTTTTCATTCAATAATTCTTTGAGCTGTAAACTCTGAGTTATCACATTGCAGTTTCTGTATAGCGAGTCTAGAATACGTAACAATTTCACTTTCTTAAATAACTGAGAGAAAACTTTGAATTTTTCCAAAGATATTGTGAGTTTTTGAGATGCATCTGATCAGAGCTGATCAAAGCTGAGGTCTATTTGTTTTCCTTTTTTTTAATTAAAATTTTCCGTGGAATAAAAAATGCACTTTAATGTTAAACCTTTAAATCAAAATTGCAAAGAGTGCTAAATGAAAAAGTACATTTTAAATATTAAGTACTGTATTACAGACATGGAGCTCTTGATGGGCCAGGTCAGGCGGATGACGCACACAAAACTGCAGCTGTGACTGTTTTTGAACTTAACAATAGTGCAAAGGTTTCTGTGTATATTGCGGCCTATCATGCACTGATTGTTGCTTAATACTATTCTTATATTTATTATAAGTAATTAACAGATGTGTTTGGACTGGGGTCATGCAGAGTGAGTAGGATTATGATGTGCAGATTACACACTGTCTGTTTTTATTACATTCCTGATTATTGATTTGATAGATAAATAAAGCAAGTGTATAAAGTGCTTCGAGTCATATTGAGTGCATCAACGATACTGTTCCGGCAAACTTGAAAATCGGCAACATTAAGAATGAACTGTCAGGACTTAATGAAGGTAGATGTTTGCAGAAGAATCACAAGAGGCTTGGAATACGTTGGAGCATTTTTCAGTTCAGGCGGGTTCGGTGACAGATCTTTCTTCCACACAGACACCTCATCGGTTATCTCACGGATAAGATTTTTGTCCTTGTCGTGATGTTGTTTGACTTGTATCTAACTTTATTTTCATCTCCAATGATGAAAAGCCAAATAGGAAAAAATTAATAAATAATAAATGGCTGACTTCATTATTAGTTTAGGTTGCTATCTCTTGAGAGACTATAAAATGAAGTCATTTTATGCCCTTGACTGCTATTGAAGGACCTTTATCGACTACACAGAGTTGAAGAGATCCTTGATAGCTGAAGAGCTTCCACTAGTGATGACACACCTGCGGGGTATACAGTGGTGACAAGTTATACTTTTTTGCATTTCTTCGTAGTTTCGGGACTTCTGAGAAAATGAAGGCGAACGAGGTGAAGCTCATCAGCCCAGGCCTGGAGGATGAGATGGTGAGTATCATTTCAGTTATTTCACTTTTTGGTTTTCTCATATCATCTACTTTTGGCATGTAAATGCACCAGTGTGTGTAAGTATTGTGTAAAAGAAGAGTGAGTTTCAGTCAGATGGGTACAACTGTTTTTTGTTTTTTGTTGTTGTTCTGAAGGAAGCAGGTTGTGTTTACTACAGATGGACATCAGCCAATGGTCTGTGGACTTGGCGTGTTAAAGCCTCAACTGTGTTACTGTTGGCCCGTTGGTTTACTAGATCCAGAAGTTATAATATTTAGACATGTGGGTGGAGAGCTAAGTTATCACCTAACACTAGGAAGCCATAAACTATGGGCAAAACGCATGGTGTTGGGGGAAAACTCTGTAAAAAACCCAGGAGAAATAAAGACACAATGAGACAAAGTTACTTTCTTTATCAAACGTGTACACGGGTGAGCTGCTAAGAACAACTCACACGTGTACAGAGGCTGGGCACTTTTTATAGGAAAGACAGTGAGAACAGGATAAGAAAATACAAAACAGATAAAATAAACAACTCCATATGTGGCGCTAGTCTCGTCAGCAGAGAGCTGGGAGAAAGCTGTGAGAGATAAAACAATCTAAAACAATATGTCCCAAAACAGTATGTCTTTGCTGAGAAAGTCTAAAAAGATAATTCTAAACTAATCTAACCATAGACAAAAGGGCATGCTTGCACATTTAAAAGAAGGTAAAGAAACATAGAATCATTTTTCCTGTAACACATGGACATGGCTAACTGGCGTTCAGTAACAGACCAATAAATACTTGGATGGTCTGAACCACTAAGCAGACAGTATTATTTGGCAGGCCATTGCATTAATCCAATATACTGATAGTTGTAACTCGCTACAAAGTAACATGTTTTTTGGTAATGCACTAACTGAATGCAATGTGATTACTGTATTAAAGTTGCAATTATGCCGGTACTTAAATTACAAAGGCTCTCCAGTTATCTGCACGTCAGGCAGGTAGAACTAAAATGGCATATTTTGTGTATCATTTTTGTCTGCTGGGCTACAGTCAGCTGATTTCAGTTAATGTGCAGAGAGCTGGAAAACCGGAGTGGTGTACAACATTTAAAGAGTGGAAATTTGGGCATTACCTTTTTTCTTTGCATGAGGGAACAAGAACATGATGCAGAAACAGTCGCATTATACTGACATCATCAGCTCCTTGCAAACATTAGACAGCATGCTAACACAGAGCTAGCTAAGAACCCAGAGTGTTAACGCTGAATGTTTGCCTACGCCAAAACCAGCAGCCGCCTGAACCTCAACAGGTAACAAAAGCAGTGATTATCGCTATTTTTGAAATATAAATGTAGCATCCATTCCTACCTGTACGTGTTTCTGAGGTAGAATCACCATAGTGATCGCTTTCAAGATTCTTTGGGCTGGTTTACATTATTGCTTTGTGTTCAAGGATCGTGCGCGTGTGTGCGTGTGTGTGTGTGTGTGTGTGTGTGTGTGTGACTGGAAACTAGAGATGGCACGATACCACTTTTTTTATGACCGATACCGATATCATAAGTTTGGATATCTGCCGATATCGATATGAATCCAATATAGTGTTTTTTAATCAACAAAACTGTTTTTTAAATATCTTGCTGCAAGTTCATACTCAAGTTTAAAACAACAACTACACTAAAGCTATTCTGTTATACCTGTATGCAAAAAAAAAAAATTTCATAGTTCAGCAATACTGATCAATCTAATAAACTTAAACCTACACCATCCTCCCTATTCTGGTATTTTAAAGAGTACTTAGCATAAATATTAAGCAACCTAACTAATAGGGTTCCAACTCCCAGCAACAACAAAAATAAATAAATAAAAAATAGGGAACCACCCCTCACGCTCCACCTCATGATGCTTAATCGACGTAATCAACCTTAATTTGATGCAGTGTGAAAAAAAATGCACAGAAATCAATTCTTTTTCAAGAAATATTAAATAGATTCAACATCTTTCTTCAACAAAATTGCAGACTCCACAGATGGTACCTTCCCAAAGGAAAAAGTACTATAGCTTACTAGGGTATATTAGACTTAACAGTTACTATATGCAGTAATGGACTTCTATACATTTTACATCAGATTAAAACTTTGGGTGTAAGATTCAGATAAATATTAAATAATTAAAAGCGAGACATTTTAAATGAGAATAAGAAAGAAAAGTATGTCTTTGTGCCCCCTTTTCCCTGTTCATGCCCTATCGGGCCCCCTGGCTAAACTTTGCTAGATGCGCCCCTGCACAGTTACCAGCGTCAGCTACGTAGAAAAAGATCCTCGAGTAGAAAGTAATATTAAATACATTCTAACAACAGCTGATCAAGCTTAAACGTGCTGCTGTTGTTCAGCCGCTGGTTTCCTCTTTCTGGTGCAAAGTGGGCCAAAAGCAAACAAGAGAGACGAACTCGCGACAGAAAAGCCGATCAGCTGATAGTTAAGCAGTTTCATGATTGAAGTAGCAGCGAGAAGAGGCAGTCGCTCCATATATCGCTTGTTAAGCTTAACGCAGGAATGCTTTACAAACATTCAGAGATGGACTTACACACTTGCTTTACTTCTCTCGGGGATAACTTTGTCGGAGATGAAATGCCGGGTTGCTAGCGAAGCTCCAAATGCTATCCAGACCACCGACAAGGTCCCGCATGCCACAGCCGCTCTATCACGTGATGCATACTGCTCCGACGTGCTAACGTTCTGAGGTGAGTTACAGCGTGTTGCAAGTTTTGTGAGGTGCTTTCGTGATATTTAATGGATCGGATTACATTTTTTATTTTTCTCCAATATCTGATCCAGTAATTTAGGTCAGTATCGGACCGATACCGATACGTAATATCGGATCGGTCCATCTCTACTGGAAACTAAAGCTTATGTTGTTAACTGGTAATTATGTGAGAGTGCGAGTAATGCAAAAGGAATGTAGTGATTAGCAGAGGTGGCAAAAGTACAGAGATTTTGTATTTAAGTAGAAGTACAGATACTGTTTAAAAATACTCTAGTAAAAGTTGAAGTACTGATTCAACTTCTTTACTCAAGTATAAGTGAAAAAGTACAGGCTCTGAAATGTACTCTGAGTAAGAAAGTAGCTCTTTGAAGAACCTTTCTGCCAGCTGTTTCATGCAAAGTTTTCAGTTTAATTTTTATTTTTTGCCCATTTTTTCCACATTATCAGTGTGGTCACTGATTTTCCTTGCCGGGCTGAGCTGTGTTTTAGCTCAGTGAGATGAGCAGCCATTCTCAGACTGGGAGGCCTGGGTTCAAATCCCGCTTATGGCAACATTTCTTTCAGTTAACAGTTAAACTTTTTTTTTAACACTTTTTCAGCAGAAATTCTGCTCATTCACCTCTTTTCAGCGCAACGTTCTGCTTCTTTCCATCTTTTCTGCAGAAATTCTGCTCATTAAACTCTTTTCAGCAAAATTTTTAGCCTTTTCACCTCTTATCAGCAGAAATCTCAGCTGCGTCTGCTCATTTCAGCAGAATTGTCAGTCTCTCCACCTCTTCTTTGTGAGAATGAGTTTGGCTCAGTGAGCTGAGTAGCTGCCGTGAGACCAGAAGGGCCAGGTTCGAATCCTGCTCACGGCAAAAAAAAAATTTCAACACTTTTCAGAAAAAATTTCTCCGTCTTTACCCCTTTCAGCAGAATTTTTGGCTTTTCACCACTTTTCAGCAAAACATTTCTGCTTCTTCACCTGTTTTCAGCAGAATTTTCAGTTTCTTCACCGCCATGCAACTTTTTGCAACTTTTCAACCTTTTCAGCTTTTTTTCAGCATTAAGGCATCCACACAGCATTTTCGCAGGAAATGCAAATTTTTGTAGTTCTAATTGTAGTCAGCCTGAATCTGTTTAATAGAATATGAATTTAACCACAACCACAATAAATTCAAAATACACAACTTTATTCAACCAGATGTCAGCAGATGTTACTGATTTCCATCCTCGATACAGTACACAATTTATGCTGTCTTTATATTAGACACTATAAAGTTGGTATGAAGGTGAATTCAGTGAATGGATCTCAGCATCATCATCTCTGCCACCCTTCATGTAACCTAACTCTGACCATGAAACCTTAGCCACTGTGCACCGGTCACACACTGTTCTTTACTTTAAACTCATCACAGTGCAGCAAACAAACCTGTTTATCCTGTGCTAACTTGCAGAGGATTTTCGTGTATCCTTTAAATAGCACAGTTAGTCTACCTCAGTTTGTTTTTCATATTGTGCAACCTGCTGCAAAACATCATAATGTGACATGTACAGACCCAGTATCTGATTTAAAAAAAGGGGACTTACATGTAAGATTTACATTTCCAGTTAGTCAAACACCAATGAGCCATCCTTACCTTTAAATCTAACCTCTCTTCCTTTCCTGTCTTTGTCATCTTTCTCCATCTCTGAGTGAAGTTGGCTCTCTTTCTTTTCTCTCCTTGTGAAAACCAGCAGCTCGACCTTTAGTTAGCAGATAAACTGCACACAAACTGTTTGTGTGTTTGCTGATAGAAATGCTGTATTTGAAATTAGCTGCCATTTACAAAACATTACTGCCTTTATGCTCGCTCATCTTTCGTGGGGCTAGCTAGATGCTGAAGTACTGCAACTTCTGGACACCTGCAGTCATTCTGGTACTGTACCAAAAAAAAAGAAAACACGCCTCACTTTAATCCCTTTAACTTTACCAGGCAGTTTTTTTTTACATCTTTAATCTCTTTTTATGGCACATCACTTGCCGAATAGTACTGGAACAGGATGGCCTTTCATGTGTTACTGTTTAGGCTCAAGTCGGTTTGATATCTGAAAGTCATGAAATAATAACTCTCCTCAAATGCCTTAAACCTAAGGTAATGAGTCTGTTTTGAAAATATAAGGATTAGAAAGTACAGATATTTGTTTAAAAACGTAGAGCGTAAAAATAAAAAGTTGTTTAAAAAAAAAAAAAAAAAACTCAAGTAAAGTACAGATACCTATGGAAGCCCGTTTCCGCCACTAAACCCCCCCCCCCCCCCCCCCAAAAAAAACAAGTATCCATAGGTCAAAATTTCGAGTTATTTTCTCGAAATTTCGTGTTAGCTCTGCCAATCAGTAATCTAGGTGAATGAGGTCACTTTCTTGTTACCTGGAAGCATATGGCGCAGAGTAACGCGCACTATAACCGGATCGCAACAAATTGGCTCTTTCGCGAGTACGTTTGCTGATAGTAACGCCATGTGATTCAGCTAATAACACAAGGATTTCATCATTTTTGAAGCCACGCTGAAAATACTCAGCAATCTGTGGATTCATGACTGGATGTAATACTGGTAGCTTAGCTGTAGCATTTGTAGCTGAAGGTTTCAGCTTCCGGGTAACAAGGAAATGACATCATTCACATAGATTACTGATTGGCAGAGCTAACTTGAAATTTCGAGTTACTTTTCTCAAAATTTTGAGTTAATAAGTTGAAATTTTAAAAAATAACTCAAAATTTCAAGTTATGGATTTATTTATTTATTTATTTATTTATTTATTTTTTACTTGCGGAAATGGGCTTCCATAGATACCTGAAATTTCTACTTAAGTACACTTAAAAAGTATTTGTACTTCGTTACTTCCCACCCCTATGATTACGGTAGTATTAACAATTTCTTTATACTGGGAGCAATTAAGTATGCATCCTTCTTAAAAAAGGTAACTAGTAATGGGGTGGGGGGTAATTGATACAGCATAGCTGCATTTTGTGTTGCGATATTGTATCGATATAGACACCAAAAAATTTTTTTTTTGTTAAATTAATTAAAATACGATGGAAAAACTACAAACTTAAACTCTGATAATTAAATACACTCAACAAAAATATAAACGCAACACCTTTGTTACTGCTCCCATTCCCCATGGGATGGACGTAGAGACCTAAAATTCATTCCAGATACACAATATAACCATCCCTCCCAAACAGTGGTCACAAATCAGTCCAAATGTGTGGTAGTGGGCACATCTGCTATATTGAGATAATCCATCCCACCTCACAGGTGTGCCACATCAGGATGCTGATCTGACATCATGAGTAGTGCACAGGTGTACCTCAGACTGCCCACAACAAAAGGCCACCCTGGAATGTGCAGTTTTTTTGCGCTATTGGGGGTCTGGGGACCCAGAACCGGTCAGTATCTGGTGTGACCACCATTTGCCTCATGCAGTGCAACACATCGTCGCATGGAGTCTATCAGATTGTCAATTGTGGCCTGTGGACGCCATCGAATGTGAGCATTTGCCCACACAAGTCTGTTACGGCGACGAGCTGGAGTCAGGTCAAGACCCCGATGAGGACGACGGGCATGCAGTTGAGCGTCCCTGAGACGGTTTCTGACAGTTTGTGCAGAAATTGTTTGGTTGTGCAAACCAATTGTTCCAGCAGCTGTCTGGGTGGCTGGTCTCAGACGATCTTGGAGGTGAACCTGCTGGATGTGGAGGTCCTGGGCTGGTGTGGTTACACGAGGTCTGCGGTTGTGAGGCCGGTTGGATGTGCTGCCATATTCTCTGAAACGCCTGTGGAGACGGCTTATGGTTGAGAAATGAACATTCAATGCACGGGCGACAGATCTGGTTGACATTCCTGCTGTCAGCATGCCAATTGCACGCTCCCTCATTGCTTGTGGCATCTGTGGCATTTTGCTGTGAGACAAAACTGCACATTCCAGGGTGGCCTTTTGTTGTGGGCAGTCTGAGGTACACCAGTGCACTACTCATGATGTCAGATCAGCATCCTGATGTGGCACACCTGTGAGGTGGGATGGATTATCTCAATATGGCAGATGTGCCCACTACCACACATTTGGACTGATTTGTGACCACTGTTTGGGAGGGATGGTTATATTGTGTATCTGGAATGAATTTTAGGTCTCTACGTCCATCCCATGGGGAATGGGAGCAGTAACAACGGTGTTGCGTTTATATTTTTGTTGAGTGTATGAATTACTGTTAAATGTGAATTTCTTTTTATGTAGACAGCATTGATGTTCTTTTTTTTTTTTTTCAGTGATTTGTCGCAGTTAATTGGTGTATTATCAGAAACAGATTGCACGTAATTACCATTCATTCACAGACTGATAGCAGACTGTCTTACATTTAAAGCAGGTTTTAAGGACAGTGTTGGTACGCTTGATGATCTCATTTTGCAGCCAAAAAATAACTGACGTGAGATAACTTTATCGTATTGCAACAAAACAGATACTGATAAAGTTTAACTTTGAGGACATAATTTGTAGTTGAACAACATATGTCACTGCAGTGCTCAGCAGGTCACACAATGTTAATAATCACAGTAATATTGTATTGTGGGTTGTCTACTGAGTCCCACCTCTAGCTAGCTGTGCATTAACATATAAGATGTAAATCGGTGTTAGACTCCAGATTAGGATAAGTCACTAATATGTTTTTCCAATTCTCTTAGTATTTATTACACATTGAATATCTTTGATTTCAAATTCAGTTTCAGTTAGATGAAATAATGCAGGTTTTGTCCGTCCATCCCTGGTTTGAGACTGGGGGGAGGCACCAGCTTCAGGGGGGGGGTCACAAGCTAGCGAGCTCCTTGTGCCGGTCCCAATCACAGATAAAAGGGTGGATTGCAAGAAGGATGCCATTCCTGATGCATTCCAGTGCACACCATCCACCTGCTTTGGGAAATACTTAGTAGAGAATCACTTGTCTATTAATTAATCTGTGGCTGAAATAAGTCCTTGAATCCAGCATATTACCAGGTGTTTTACAGACAAGAGACAACTATGCAGCCATGTTAACATGTTAGCGTATCTGTGCAGGAGGTGTCGGGTTACAGACCCTGTCTGTGGAAGATGATCCTGGTGGGCGCAGGTGTTATTTGCTCTGGTGGTCTCCTGCTGCTGCTCCTCTACTGGTTACCTGAGTGGGGTGTGAAGAGCACCTGTACTCAAACCACGCTGAAGGACGCACACACAGTGCTGCTCAGGACAACGGTATGTGCTGTAGGTTAATATTGAAATGAAGCATTTTATTTCTGTGGCACACATACTGTTCCATACTGTGTCTGATAAATTTGGTGTGGCCTCACGAACAGGAAAACTGTGCTGCTTTATATTGTTACCTCAGGATGAGTTCAGACAGTGGTTTCGAGCCAAAGTGCATGTGATGTTGGCTCCTGGGAAGAAGCCCTTTGACAGTTTGGCTTCCCAGCCTGAAAGCCAGGTAACAAATGGAGACGGAGACCTTGGTGTCAGCGCTGTACACGAAGACTGCTACGGACAGTTTTCTCACAGGCAGCTGGTTCAGGTACTTTAGTATGAAGCCGTGTCTCCTGTTACCATTTGATAGTTTTCTAACTAACCCATTTTAAACAAATCTGTTTCACAGACTAAGTGTTTGGATTCTCCCCTCTCCCCCTCTCAGGTTCACTATTTCGTCCACCACAGCGCTCGATACTACTGGAATGATGTGATGCAGAACTTTGAATTATACAAGTAAGCATCCCACTGAGTATGTGTGCTGTAGTCTTGTGTTCAGAATATTTGATGTGCTACATGTATTACAGCTTTTTTTTTTTTACAAATTCAGTTAAATTATATGAATATATAAATTTATATATATATAAATTATATATGCTATATATATTATATATGCTTTAAACGTAAAAGCGTGAGGAGGTGTAACAGAATAGTTTTTTTGTTGATTGCATAGTTTTTGCCAGGTTCTGCATGATCAGATACACACCGATAAGGCATAACATTATGACCACCTGCCTAATATTGTATTGGTCCCCCTTTTGCTGCCAAAACAGCCCCCACCAAACAATGGATCCTTTAGGTCATGTAAGTTAGGAGGTGGGGTGTCCATGGGTCCGACTTGTTTCTCCTGCACATCCTGCATACATGAAGCAGTGACCCCTGCAGACCGAGAACGCCCCACGATAGCTGCAGCTTTGGAGATGCTCTGACTCAGTTGCCCAGCCATCACAATTTGGCCCTCGTCAGACTCTTAAATCTTCACACTTCCCAGATTTTCCAGCTTGTAACACATCACCTTTGAGGACAAAATGTTCACTTGCTTCCTAATACATCCCACCCACTCACAGCTGCCACGATGAAGAGATAATCAGTGTTATTCACTTCACCTGTCAGTGCTCATAATGTTATGCCCGGTCGGTGTGTGTGTTGCTCTGCTCAGCTGCAGTTGACATGAATTGTATTCATTTTCTAGAGGCCTGGAGGATGTGAATGTGAGCTGTGCAAGCCTTCACTCTGAGCACAGCTCTGGGCTTTCTAAAACATTACAAGACTACAGGTACATGCTGGGCTTTCTTACAGGCTGTTTTCTTAAGTTATTTGCTCATTTAAAAAAAAAAATGAAGAAGCAGCAGATGGATTTTTCATGATGGACAAATTGGATTCTTCTTTATCAGGAGGCTGTTTTTTGGGGAGAATGAGATTGCAGTGAGAGTGCCCTCTCTGTTAAAGCTTCTGGTAAAGGAGGTGAGTTTCAAGCTCTTGCATAACATATTTTCTTACAGCACATCTATCATTTCTTCTAATTCCCCCTGTTTGCATGTTTTTTTTTTCAGGTCTTGAACCCATTTTACATCTTCCAGCTCTTCAGCATTATTCTCTGGAGCTTTGAAGATTATTATTATTATGCCTCGGCCATTGTTTTAATGTCCATCATTTCTATCGCTACCTCACTGTACACCATTAAAAAGGTGGGTCATGCCTGAGACGGCTCTGCTCTCGGTCACCCGTTTTCAACGCAGTTGTGTTCTGGTGCCTTTCAAGAGCTGTTTTTCTTCTCCTTTCAGCAATACGTCATGCTGCACGACATGGTGGCAGCCCACAGCGTGGTTCGTGTTTCTGTGTGCAGAGGGAATAAAGGCATGTTTTCATCTCTGATCATGACACACAGCTAATAGCTGCTTTGCCTTGTGACTGGCTACAGAGACAGTGTGTATCCAAAGTCTTCTTTCATGATCTTGACCACAGATATTGAACAGGCCATGTCAACGGAGCTCGTGCCCGGCGATGTCATCGCCATTCCAGCGAATGGGATGATAATGCCGTGCGACGCAGTGCTCGTCTGCGGAACCTGCATTGTGAACGAGAGCATGCTGACAGGTGAGACTGCTCTTCGCCGCGCTCGCCGTGGAGAAAAGTTACTACCGTTCTTCCAGGAATCAGTGGTTATCTCTCGTCACTTATCTCTTTACACTTTATGACTGTTCGTGAGAGGCAGCTGGTACTTCCGTCACTGCTACAATATATCAAAGATTAAGCTGGCTTTGATTTTTAGCTCGTCTAGCTGAAGGACTGATTAGCTTATGCCACGGCGAGGCGTTCTTTGCCCGTCCACAGTTCAGAAGAACTTAGGTCACATTTGTCATTTTACAGGGAATAACCTGATGAGCTATTATGTCATCATTGCATTTTTTTTTCTTCTTTTTTTTTTTTGCCCACATTGTCATACATTACTTTATTGTATCATCACTGGTCCTTTAAAACAAGTTCAGCAGGCTCTAACTTATGCAAAGTTCATCTGCTTTCCTTGAATGAATCCATAGATTTGGACATCATATCCTTCTCTGACCTTTTGCTCTCAGTTAGAAAGCTGTTAAGGCACCTCACACTTTGCTCAGTTTAAGATAATTTTACTCTGATTGGCTGGCGTTCACAAACAGGAGGTTTTTAAGAGCATGTGGGCGGGGCTTTGCAGTAGTCACATTAGAACGTAGAAGCTCGTCCTGAAAACATGGACCCAGATGTACCTGGATCCAAGGCAAGCATCTTCTAACATTTGCACATTATTGTTTACCAACTAAAGGAAAACACGCTAATATACTTTGAAATTGGACTTTTTCCACCCCAACCAGTGAGTAAACTAAAAGCATCGTCCAGTCTTTAATTAGCGCTACGATTCATGGTTTGGAAAAATTACAAAAGTTCAAAATGCCTTCCTTCTTCACATTTTCCAAAGCTGTCCAGCGAGGTGACTTGAAGCCAGGTGGACGCTGAAGCCTGCCTATATGTGAATGGGAATGATGCGAGCTCTGAGATGTTTTATTTTCTGCATCTCTAGTGTTCTCATTTTAAAAGTCATCTGTTTGCCTATCATCTGATAATAACATTTTTTACATCATAGAATTTTTATATTTGACGTTTGTTCCTTTTATTTATGTCTGCCTCGTTGTATTGCTAGGTGTTGTTTTTGTTTTATGACTATTTGTCATAAGTAAATATCCCATGTAATTAAGTACAGTCATGTGAAGAACGTTTTTCACATGACTGTAAACGGTCCTTTGAAAAACTAAGAATACACTATGATTCATTAGCCTGTAGAACCACTTTTGGCAGCAATAACTTATGTATGACACGTGTGTCTTACATCATTATGGGGGATTTTGGGCCACTTATTTCAGTGTTTAGCTTTTTAACGTTTTTGGGCATCGAGATATGCACAGTTCTCCTGTTAAAGTCCTGCCGCAGCATTTCAGTAAGTTTGCGGTCTGGACTTTGCCAAGGCATTCGCAACACCCCAATTCTCTTCTTTTTAAGACATCTTGATGCAGATTTGCTGCTGTGTTTGGGATCGTTGTCCTGTTCAATGACTAGTTGTTAGACAGATGACATCACATTTGACTTATCACGAGTTTATGGTCGACTCAATAACTGCAGGGTGCCAGGTCGTGTGGATGTAAAACAAACCCGAATCATCACGCCTCTACCGCCGTGGTTGACAGTTTGTTTGAGCTCTCTGTGCTGATATGCACCAGACAAGGTGAAATGCAGACTTTGTTTTTCACGTGACTGTATGTTGAAAGCTGGATCCTGTCCACATATTGTGATGTCCTGGTAGCCATGGTTTTTGGCACCATTTGTTTTTTCCCCTCCTGTAGGTCACAATATGTGATGCCCTGGTGGTTAATTGAATAAATATTTTGCTGGGATTCTTCTGCAATATTTCAGTAAAAGCCATTCTGGTGTTCTGGTCTTCATTTCTGCATCTGTTCTTTTTGATATTTTCTTTTGATTATAAAAAAAATCTCTTTTAGGAGAGAGTGTGCCAGTCACCAAGACCAGTCTGCCCAGTGCTGGCGAGGAAGGAGCCAGGAGCTACAATATAGATGAGCATAAAAAACACACCCTCTACTGTGGTACCCACGTCATCCAGACCCGCTTCTACACCGGAGAACTGGTGAAAGCTGTTGTGGTGAGAACAGGTAAACTGGAGAGAGACGGACTGGGACCCACTGTGGTGGTTTAGCTTCTGCTTTAGACTGAGCACCCTCAAAAGGAAGAAAATAATCAGAGAGTATTACTTGTGTGTCTCCACAGGCTTTAGCACAGAGAAAGGCCAACTTGTGCGTTCTATTCTTTACCCTAAACCCACTGACTTCAAGCTGTACCACGACGCATACCTGTTCCTGTTGTGTCTTGTTGGGGTGGCAGGCATCGGCTTCATCTATACCATCGTCCTGAGCATCATGAACAAGGTATTACTGCTCTTTAAGAGGCTTATGAAGGTCTTCAGTGAGCTGAATCACAGTTGCTGTCTGTTCTCTCCAGGTCCCAGCTAAAACCATCATTATTGAATCTCTGGACATCGTGACCATTACCGTGCCCCCGGCCTTACCGGCCGCCATGACGGCCGGCATCGTTTACGCACAGCGGCGTCTGAAGCGCGTCGGCATCTTCTGCATCAGTCCGCAGAGGATCAACATGTGCGGTCAGCTTAACGTGGTTTGCTTTGACAAGGTGAGTTAGAAAATGTAGAAGCTGAGGATCTGAAGTAGCTCAGAAATCAGTCCTCAGACAAAATGCATGGAAATTGGTTTTCAACACATTCAAACCCACTTCCAGTTCAAGCACAAGTTCTTTTTTTGAGAGTGAGTGCATGATTTAATGACCGTAAATGTCTCGAGGCAGAGCTGTAGTCGTGCAAATATGCTGTTTGTTCATAGCACCGAGCTTTATGCACTCAAAAGAGTGATGCTGTACAAGTTTATAAGGACTTAGACGTATCTAAGCAGGCTGTGCTTGACATGTAATTTTCCTTTTGTTATCACGAGCACCCAGTGAGCACAATGAGAAACGGGTTGTAATGTTGTTAGTTTGAGAAAAGCATTCAAAGTTGATAAATTTGATTCATTATTCAGTGAAGTCTGTTTTTCCAGGCATTTTCCAACATTTTCTAGATTGTATAATTCATTAAGAGAAGGAACAAATTCATCAGTTCTGAAAATAAAAAGACACAGACTTTATTCATAGTTTGTTTGGTTGTAAAGGAGCTAAAGGTTGTTGTTGTTGGTTTTATTTATTTATTTTTAACACTGACCTCAGTTGGTAGAAAGATTATGTACTAAACAGCTAAATGCTTCCACACAGACATGCTGGGTCACATCTTTGTCCTTGTTTTGTCCTTTGAGGAAGCTGCTTAGTCTTGTTCCGTTCCACTGTCTAGAATTATGGGCTGTTCAGATTGATTTCCTGCTCTTGCTGATGAGATGTACGAGGCCTGAGTTGGTAGCTTCGTAATAATGTGCAGTTTTTGTTTTCCCTCAGACTGGTACTCTGACCGAGGACGGTTTGGACCTGTGGGCCATTCACAGGGCTGAGGATGGCAGGTAGGAAGTGGCAACTTTGGGTTTATTGCCATTCGTGTGCATATTAAGATCAGATCTCCGAGTATAACCAGAAACAAATAGGAACTGCTATAGCTCACCTCTTTGTGCAAGTAGCAAATATGCCAAAGGCAACTGCAGGTGCCTTAGTTCAACTTGCCCCTCAGTCATTTCCTGCATATTGCTCCCCCCCACTCCATCCATGCTTTACTGTCTAGTCTCTGTAAAGTTCTCTCAAAATAAAGACGGCACATACAAAACGGTATTGCATCACTGCATCATAGCTTTAAAATGCTTCATTTAGCGGCTTGTTGATTTATTGAATAACAAAGAATGTATCTGTATTTTACTGCTGTCCGCTAACAGTTTCTCTAATAATTTTGTCCTGACACATCTGAAGGAAAAGTAATTGTGTCTTCTTTGGTCATAGACTGTAAAATGGTAAATGGCCTGTATTTATATAGCGCTTTACTAGTCCCTAAGGACCCCAAAGTGCTTTACACATCCAGTCACCCACCCATTCACACACTGGTGATGGCAAGCTACATTGTAGCCACAGCTGCCCTGGGGCGCACTGACAGAGGCGAGGCTGCCGGACACTGGCGCCACCGGGCCCTCTGACCACCACCAGTAGGCAACGGGTGAAGTGTCTTGCCCAAGGACACAACAACCGAGACTGTCCAAGCCGGGGCTCAAACCGGCAACCTTTCAATTACAAGGCGAACGCCCAACTCTTGAGCCACGATCACCCCAAACTGTACATAGTAGATGGCAAGCAGAGGGCGTATCTGATCGTGAAAGTCTGAGGCTTTCGTACTCACAGTCGTGACAGTCGTACTCACTTTTGATTTTGACCTTGCTAAATCTTTTGTTGATGAGTTTATGGGCAAAGTCAATTATTTTAAATCTTGTTAAATATATAAAAAGTCTGTTTTTTTTTGTTGTTGTTGTTTTTTGTTTTTTTTGTTTTTTTTAGAAAATCTTTCTTTGGAGTAAAGCCGCGTATGCTTTAGGGTGTGGCTAACATGTTGCTACAGTAAACATCCTGAGGACTGTTTCTCGGTTGAATCCACTCGATGCTAATTTCTTCTGATTTCAGAAAACCAACCAAACAACGTCCGCGCTTACATTAGTAGCCTGTGAACCAATAGTTCCATCTTTTATGTACAGTCTTTAACTTTGCCTCTATGAAACACTGGACAGAGAAATCTAGACCTTTACTATCAGGGCTTCTATTAACAGATTTGGAAATGTCACAGAAACTTTGTGTTGTTTTCTCACACAGTTATATAGAGTCACGATTTGCTTCTTTCGCACCTACAAAGAATCGAGTCGTTGAGTCAGACCTTCTCTCTTCACTGCAGCTTTTGTTCACCTGAGTCTGAGGCTGCTAAAGTCAGTCTTGTAAACACTACATTCGTGGCCTGCATGGCAACCTGCCACTCACTGACCAAAATAGAAGGAGAGCTCTCTGGAGACCCTTTGGACCTCAAGATGTTCAGCGCTACAGGCTGGGTAAGCAGAGATTTTGAGTGTTTAGCGTGGTTAGTTACTGATAGCCTGTAAGTGAAATCTCCAGCTCCAAGCTCCAGGAAAAAAAAACAACCTTTATTTACAGCAGCCTTGACTCAGTGATTCAAGGCAGAAAGGTGATGTTTTTGTTTTAGATCCTAGAAGAACCCACAGAGGAAGAAACCGCGCTCCACAATCCCATAATGCCCACAGTTGTACGCCCTCCAAAGCACATCGTCCCTGAAGCCCATCAGAGCAATCCACTACCTCAGAGCATGGTACCGTGACCTCCGTATGTTCATTGATGACTATAAATCAATGCCGGATTTTCCTAATATGACACATTTTGTTTTTTTTTCTTTTTCAGGAGCTTTCTGAATTATCTGTAAGTTGCCACTTCATGAAAACATCAATGTTTTTGTATTCACTTTGTTACTCAGTGTTAAATCTTGTAAATCTGACGTAGCTAACTGAAAATTATAGCCTAGCATGAAGCCTGGAAGCAGCTGTCAAACTGTCTTTGAATCACTTGTTATGAAGAGAATAAATCAACACATTTTTAGAATCGGAGCAATTTTTTTTTTTTTTTCCCCCCCCAGTTCAAACATGTGACTTTTGCTCCTCAGGCCTGTGAGATGGGCATTGTGCGTCAGTTCCCCTTCTCCTCGGCGCTGCAGAGGATGAGCGTGGTGGTCAGGAGGCTTGGGGCAAAACACATGGACGCCTTCTTAAAAGGGGCACCGGAGGTGGTGGCCAGCCTCTGCAGACAGCACACAAGTCAGACATGGGATGGTTATTTCCTCCCTTTTAATTTGACTTTGCTGTAAAGAAATACAAATGAATAAAATATGTCCTCCCTGTCCCACAAAATCATTTCTTATCTTGTCTCATGTTATATAATAAGGTCACACCAACATAGCTCTGACCTTCTGTTTAGTCCCACAGACGTTCACAGAGACTCTGGAGGCCTACACCAGGCAGGGCTTCAGGGTTATTGCCCTGGCACATCGTCAGCTAGAGTCCAAACTCTCCTGGCACAAAGTCCAGAGCCTCAGCAGGTACTGTACGTCCGTATCCTCAGATAATACTGCCCACAGTGCATGTGGATACTCCCACCCTGAAGAAAATGCTTGTAATGTGGTTTCTCATCTTGCTGATGACGCTTTTAGAAGCTCGAAGCTGCTCTTAGAGTAACTTAGCTCAAAGTCCTTCTATTGCAGGGCAGAAAATGTCCTTGCTAAGTGAAACATGAGGAGGAAGGCTTGTTTGAGAGCTTTTATATTGGAAGTATTTGAAATGACTAGCAGTTTTGTCATCTGCCACAATGTCGTGCTGCCAAAAGGCACAAAACTGTTTGAGGCGACTGCAATATGAATGATTTATTAAGTGACTCTATGCTCAAAGACGTGCTCGCTGTACAGCAGCATATTAGTGTTTGTTTCCGGGTGTTTGGGGTCAGTGTGATAAAAGTAGGAAATCATTAACTAAACTTAAAAACAGGAAGAATATTATGTAAGTGAGCTGAGCTCTTAAACTGCTTTGATGCAGCGATAACCTCAGATTTATGATGTCTAAAAGTCAGAAGTCACCGTGTGTCCCAGATTCATCCTGATATGTTTTTCTCTAAATGTGACTTTTTGTGGATTCCTTAAAAAATGGCAGCACAATTTATAGAAGTCTATGATTTTTCTCTCATAGGGACGTAATAGAGACCAACATGGAGTTCCTCGGTCTGATCATTATGCAGAACAAAATCAAACCAGAGACTGCTGGTGTTTTATGTGAATTACAGCGAGCCAACATACGCACATTGATGGTCACGGGTAATGCAGCTCAGTCAATTTGTCTTTTATTTGCGACGCAAATTCAAATGTTTGTGCCTCTCATTTCCCTCCTCTCCTCTGTATCTTCTGATAGGCGACAATATGTTGACGGCCATATCGGTGGCTCGAGACTGTGGAATGGTCCGTCCATGCGAGAAGGTCATAATAGCAGATGCTGGGCCTCCCAAAGATTTCCAGCCTGCGAGTATCACGTGGCATTACACTGAAAACCAAGCTCAGGCTGTTAAGGACAACGAGGTAAGAACCACCGAGTAATCCCCGGTTAGTGGACGGTACTGGGAAGAAGGTTTGAGCCAGCCCTTGTAGTTCTCCAGACTTCTTGAAGGATGTTCCAGAGCTCTTCGTTGGATGTTGACTGCCTTTTGTTCCTTTCTCTGCTTCATTAAAGTTTGAATGATCTCTCCATCAGATATGTTGACACTGATTTTCAGTCCAGTTCTTGTGTAATTTTCATACCTCAGCCTTTTCTCTTTGTTTCCCTTAAGAATGGCTTCTTGACAGTCACCCTTCCACTGAGACCATTTCTGATGAGGCTTCAGTGAACAGTGGATGGATCAACTGAAGGCCCATATTTATCTCTCAGATTCTGTGTCAGCTCTGTGCTGTTGTTTCTCAGACATGACTTTCAGATACTGTTTATTTTTAATGGTCTGCTATTTCTTCTTCTCTTTCCTCAAATCTTAAGGCAGGAATATCAAACTCATTTACATACAGCCCATCTTATGTGGTCTAGACCAGTAAAACTGCCCTTTCTGTCTGTGTAAAGACAGCTGCTTGCAAAAGTATTCGGCCCCCTTGAACTTTTCCACATTTTGTCACATTACAGCCACAAACATGAATCAGTTTTATTGGAATTCCACGTGAAAGACCAACACAAAGTGGTGTACATGTGAGAAGTGGAGCGAAAATCATACATGATACCAAACATTTTTTACAAATAAATAACTGAAAAGTGGGGTGTGCGTAATTATTCAGCCCCCTGAGTCAATACTTTGTAGAACCACCTTTTGCTGCAATTACAGCTGCCAGTCTTTTAGGGTATGTCTCTACCAGCTTTGCACATCTAGAGACTGAAATCCTTGCCCATTCTTCAGCGTTTGTGAACAGTAGTTTTCAGATCTTGCCACAGATTCTCAATTGGATTTAGACACCAGACAGGTCAGGGATAAAGTTATTGAGAAATTTAAAGCAGGCTTAGGCTACAAAGAGATTTCCCAAGCCTTGAACATCCCACGGAGCACTGTTCAAGCGATCATTCAGAAATGGAAGGAGTATGGCACAACTGTAAACCTACCAAGACAAGGCCGTCCACCTAAACTCACAGGCTGAACAAGGAGAGCGCTGATCAGAAATGCAGCCAAGAGGCCCATGGTGACTCTGGACGAGCTGCAGAGATCTACAGCTCAGGTGGGGGAATCTGTCCATAGGACAACTATTAGCCGTGCACTGCACAAAGTTGGCTTTTATGGAAGAGTGGCAAGAAGAAAGCCATTGTTAACAGAAACCCATAAGAAGTCCTGTTTGCAGTTTGCCACAAGCCATGTGGGGGACACAGCAAACATGTGGAAGAAGGTGCTCTGGTCAGATGAGACCAAAATGGAACTTTTTGGCCAAAATGCAAAACGCTATGTGTGGTGGAAAACTAACACTGCACATCACTCTGAACACACCATCCCCACTGTCAAATATGGTGGTGGCAGCATCATGCTCTGGGGGTGCTTCTCTTCAGCAGGGACAGGGAAGTTGATGGGAAGATGGATGGAGCCAAATTCATGTTTGTGGCTATAATGTGACAAAATGTATGTATTTATATATAATGTATTTTAGATATTTTAATATAAGTTAAGTTTTAAGTTTTTAACACATTTATATAGTAGGAAAGTATCTTTTTATCCTTAACTTAACTACTTTTCCAAAGCCTTCCAGAGGGCCGGCTGAAGGCTTTGCTGGGCTGATTCTGGCCCCCAGGCCTTATGTTGACACCCCTGTTTTAGGGACACACTGCACACCATTCTGAGACATTAAAAGCTTTCAGCTATTAGCTCTTTGGCATTCATTTTTGGTTAGTGCAAAAATACAATTTTATGCCTGTCAAACTGTGTTTTCGTTGGCATTTTTCATAGATTGAACACAAGAAATGGGAACAAATGTGTTTTTGTGACAGGCTGTTGGTAACAAAGTGCCTCAAGATACGAATATTACAGGAAGGTCTGGCTCCTTGGAAGCAACCATTAAAAGCGTTGACGTGTGTGTCGAGACACTTTCATGGTACTGTAATTCAAGGAAAACAACACATGCCTGGACAGATGATTTACCTTCTCTTGTTAAGGCTGGTTTTTAAATACTGTTCCAAATCCTGTTCAACCACTCTGCTGTTTGCAGTAGGTTTGACACCTACATGTTGAGGCATCTCTTTACTTTTACAGTATTTTTGCCTTTGAGTTCATATAGAATGCAAGAACTGAAGCATTTGTCAGTGCAGAGCTCGTTTTATACATTTATATATTTTTCAGTCGTTCAGTTGCATGAATCACTTTAGGTAAAAAAAAAAAAAAAGGGGGAGTAAAAAGGTTTGTTTGGCTTAAATCTGATATTTTATTCTCCACATAAAATAGTACCATGGTATGACTGGCTCATCTTTAATCCTTCAGATTGTGGAGATCGAGCTGGATGAAGGGACCTGGGATGGGGAGGTTTCTCAGGAGCAAAGTTATCACTTCGCTGTAAGCGGCAAGGCCTTCGCTGTCATTATTGAATACTTTCCCCAGCTGGTCAAGAAGGTACACGTACTCTTTGTCTGTTACTTGGTCCACGTTAGCTTTGAACATGTGTAAAGCTGTGTAATTCTCCTTTTCCCCTCATGGTGGCACTGCAGCTTGTGCTGAGAGCCACCGTGTTTGCTCGCATGGCTCCAGACCAGAAGACTCAGCTGGTGGAAGTCCTGCAGAGCATGGAGTGAGTCGCTCCTCTGTTTTGTGGTTTTGTGTTTAATCCGTTTCATGTGTCTTCACGTGTTTTATTTATCTTCCAGTTACACCGTTGGGATGTGTGGTGATGGTGCTAATGACTGTGGAGTAAGTCTGAGTCAGCTTTATAATAAAAATGATATTTTTCATCGTCTCTTATGCTTTTTTGCAAAAACAAACTGAAACACTGTAGCCTCTTAAAGCTGAACAAGAGGCTACAGGTGGTATAAAGCAACCTGCATATCACATACTTGGACTAAGTGTAAAGTAAACCACATGTATGCATGCTTTAAAAGCATTTATGTAGGTTTACATTTTACTTGCAGTCATGGTTCCTTTTGACTTTGTGGTGTTTTTGTTTTTTTTTCTCTGTTCCCTCGGTGCCCACAGCTGTAGTTTCCTTAAATATTTTATGTACTGACAAACAGTAATTGATCTATTTGATGTATTGATGAATAAGTTACTCTTATCAAACTGAGTGTTTTACCTCTGGTTTTGCAGCGTTACTCAAACCCAAAGTGAGTTATATTAATTTAGTCCTCTCTCCCTCTCAGGCGCTGAAGAGAGCTCACAGCGGGATTTCTCTGTCAGAGCTGGAGGCGTCAGTTGCGTCACCCTTCACCTCCTCTACCTCAAACATCTCCTGCGTCCCCAACCTAATCAGGTAAAGGAGTAAATGTATCTCACAGCTTTATTCACACTCTGAGAGCATCTTCAGCTGAGAACAGCTTTGATTTGAACTCTAAATCCTGTGTTTCCTTCTAAAGGGAGGGACGGGCCGCCCTCATAACATCGTTCTGCGTGTTTAAGTTCATGGCTCTCTACAGCATCATCCAGTTCATCAGTGTCATCCTGCTCTACTCGGTGAATAGATATTTGTCCTTCCAAATTTTTTCTCTTTGTCACCTGCTGGGAAAACATTGTGTCATTTGAGACACCATGAATAAAATGGGGGGAAGGGTCCCAAATAGGAATGTATACCATATCAAACTTTGATACGGTTCCCACAAGTTGCGTCTTTAAAAAGAAGTTTAGGTGAAACAAAGGAACGTGACAGCAAAGTGACGCGCCGCTGCTGGGAAAAGGATGACAATGACACAGTGTGACACAGGAATGTAGGTTAGCTCTAAAGTCAGCGAGTGTCAGCTGAGATTATAGAGCCATTAATTTGTCGCTGTGTGATCTTTTGATATTTTAGGTTCTCAGCAACTTGGGAGACTTCCAGTTTCTCTTCATTGACCTCATCATCATTCTTACCATTGCCTTTACAAGTGAGCAGCGTGGCGACGAGCACCAATTTTTAAAAAAAAATTTTTTTTTTCCAGTCAGTGTTCAAAAAACAGCTCTCTAATGACTATATCCTCTCTGTCAGTGAGTCTGAACCCAGCCTGGAAGGAGCTGGTGTGGCGTCGCCCGCCGTCCAGTCTGATCTCAGGCCAGCTCCTCTTCTCAGTCCTGACCCAGATCCTCACCTGCCTGGTCTTCCAGGTCCTGGCTTTTCTCCTGGTACGACAGCAGAGCTGGTACGAGACATGGACGCCTGAGTCAGAGTGAGTGATGTAGATTTATTTATTTTTTTAACATATCTGTGGTCTGTTAGGATTATTAATGTGGTGATGGCACGTGCTTAAAAAGAAAAAATCTGCCCAATATTTCTTTCAGACACACTAAACATAAACCGATTTCTCTAACAGTTGTTATGTGAAGCTCTTTATTTACTGCTCAAGTTGGCGGCGTGCTGTTTAATATCAGTAAAAGAACAGAGACGTTTGAAACGTTTGCTTTTCACTTGCCTTTATCGTGTTTGATTTTTGCATTCTTTGTTTGTAAAAGGAGACATTTGTCCTCATTTTCTGCATTTTTCTCTTTTCCTGCAGCGCTTGTAATGTTTCCAGGTCCATCTTCTCTCTCGGAGTTAACGTAACTGATCCTCAAAACCATAAAAACATCAGGAACTATGAGAACACGTCCCTCTTCTACATCTCCACCTTCCAGTATTTAGCTGTGGCGATCGTTTTTTCCAAGGGAAAACCCTTCAGACAACCAAGCTACAAGAACTGTAAGGCTAAGACTGTTTTGTCAGCGATGCGTGTTTCAAATTTTAAGGAAACACAAATACACTTTTAAGCTTTAAAAAGACAGAAAAGGAGTGTAAAAACAGTCACAACTTAGGAATTTCCCCGTATCCCACATATAAATTGATAAAGATTGTAACTTTTCTTCCACGAGGGCTGTTCATGCTGACCTGCATCGGTCTGTACACTTTTCTCCTCCTCATCATGCTGCATCCCTTCCCTGCTGTTGACAACTTCCTGCAGGTAAACGTTGTTTCTCTCATTTTCTCCGCGTGTTACTGTCACACCACAGGCTTTAAGTTGCCTCGTGTTGGGACCGAAAAAGAGAAACATCTGCGCAAAAGCGTGAATATCTGAGATGTTGCATTGGCTCAGAGGTGCCGCACTCACCGCTCTCCATCCTCTCCTGCCTCCCCAGATCGTGTGTGTTCCCCATGACTGGCGTGTCACTCTGGTGATCATTATGATCGGGAATGCGGCTGCTTCTTTCTTGTTGGAGGTACGGCTCAGAAACCACCACACCCTGCCTGCTTGCTGTGATTGAGCTCCTTTTAAAATTGCAAACTGTGATTTGCATGCTTTAATTTAGTTTATTTTGCATGTGATTTCTTGCTTTCTTTCTTACCGAGTAAGTGTCGGTGGTGCATCACTGCTAAGTAATGAAATCAGTGAATCATTTTTTTCTCCATTTAAGATGTTTTCGACTTTCTGATTTTCATAATCAGCTGATTCTCAAGTTCCTGAAATCTTCCATAGATTTTGATCCTTGACATCATCTTGTGGAGGCTAGTTTTCAGAGGCAATCACAGGGCAAGTCGCCCCGCAGAGTCCTCCTCTGCTCACACGCCGCAGGTTGGGAAGCTTTTCACTACACTTTCTGTTCTTTCACTGTGTAGACAGTAGCATGTTATCCTTAACCTCGATTCTCCTGCTTTTTTTCTTCTCATTTTACAACAATAACACGGATTACATAGCCAAAAAAAAGTTAACATTTACACCATTGAGCAGGTCATGAATGACCAAGTCTAGCTCATTCTATGAACCCATCAGCTTCAAGCTCTTTTTTTCAGTCACCAATGGTTATAATGTCTTATTGGGGCCATTGTAGGCTTAGATACATAAATATGGGGCTGGGAGTGTTGGTAATATTCAAACAGCCAAAAACAACAATTTTAATCCATGATTAAATCCATAAATTCACAAAAAAGTGACAGAAAATGACGCATTGGAGATGGTGGTGGTCAGAGGGCCCGGTGGCGCCAGTGTCCGGCAGCCTCGCCTCTGTCAGTGTGCCCCAGGGCAGCTGTGGCTACAATGTAGCTTGCTATCGCCAGTGTGTGAATGTGTGTGTGTGAATGGGTGAATGACTGAATGTAGTGTAAAGCGCTTTGGGGTCCTATGGACTAGAAAAGCGCTATACAAATGCAGGCCATTTACCATTTACCATATTTTCCACCTTACATGTTCAGGTGGCCAATGACCGCTGGGCTTCGTCCGTCCTCTCCTGGTTGTTCTGTCGGAGACACAAGGCACCAAGGGCGCTGTATATGCAGCTGGCTCTGGAGCTGCAGGAAGGCAGTGAGTGGCCCCCCCAACCCTCCGCTGTCACCTATGCCAGTGACCTAAAATCCAGCATCTCTGACCTCAATGTGACTGCCAACCAAAACTCAACACAGGCTAAACCTGAAGCTTCCCTAAAGCTTGTATGATGGTTTAATTCACCTCCTCAAAATGGGCAAACACCCTGTACTTCTATCGTAGCCGTACTGTCGTATCTCGCTACTGAAACTTGAGCCAGAGGATTATTAAAGGAAAAGCTTGGCATTATTTGTTTTCTCGGTCAATGTTCAATGTCTCATTAAATTTAGCCTAGCACCAAGCCTGGAAACTGGGGGGAATAGCTACCTTAGCAAACATGCTACCTTGGGCCCCATGAGGGGTTACTGTGGGCAGTCACATGGGCCACAGTGTCTGAGAACCAGTATGAAATGTAGGACGCATCGGGGCCCCGAACTGTAGCGCAGAGTGTGGGCTTACTCACTGCAGGCCTGTAATGGGCCACACAGTTGGTTCCTCTCTGCACACAGTACTGGCTGCCCCACTGGGGCCTAACTGTACCTGACAGTGCAGGTTTAAGCCATGCATTTCGTGTGAGTCCCAAGGTAGGCTGCAAAACTGGGCCCCTATGTGCTCTATCAGATACTGAGATATGATATAATTATAGCTCATTGAGTACATATTTTCCACCTCACATGCATCAAACTGGAGTGAAGAGTGGACCAGAATGTCACTCAAACAAAAAACAACAAACTACTTAGGGGGTCACCACAACAGGCAGCTGCTCATATTTAATTTGGCAGATTTTTACACGACTTTCCTGAAGTCCATTCCATATCAACAACATCCAGCCATTGCAATTTTGCCTTTGAACTACCAGAGTTTTATATGGGCTATGTGTTACCAGAGAAGACCCTTATGGAGACCCAAAAGGGAAAACTGCTATGGGCTGCACTTAGGCTTTCTTTAAGGAAGCTCAAAACATGCATGTGTGGTTTTTCCTGCCCACACAGCACAGTTCACTCAAATCTGCCCACTATGGACTCACATGGTGGCATTTTTTTGTTGGGCATCCTGTCTCTGTGCAAAGCTAGGCTCTAATAGGCATTCCCTCTTGTTGCTACACTTGGTGTTAAGCTAATATTAATTGCTGGTTGCTGTGCAGGCATGGTACTGGTATTGTCTTGTAGTGCCAACCGTTAGTAGCTTAAAAGAAAATCAAGTACTGCTCTGGACACTAGACACTGGGAATGGTCAGATTAATCTTTCCATTGTTTTGAGTTTTTTCATTATGCCCCACTCTTTGAAATATCTGAAAGTCTGACACTGAACAAAAGATCAGCTCTATCACATGGATACACTGCCCTCCTGCTGTTTTTACCATTCAGTTACATTGCTGCTGGTAGAACTTCAAAGCTGTACAAATTCAAAGAAACTTTCAAAGAAACGTGAGAGATTTAACGCCTGTTCATGGGCGTAAATGGTACTTTCCGATTTCTGAGGCAGAAAACATTCCACTGTTGGATTCTTAGTCTTTTTTTTTTTTTTTTTTTAGTTGCTTTGCCTGAATTTCTTCCTGTGGAAGTGAAAAGCAGAAAAATATCAGTTGAAATTCTTTTTATTGCGCATTTCACCATTTAACATCACAAAGGTACTGAAGAGTAATAATGTTTTGATTAATTAATCAAACCCAATCATTAAAACACTTGCTGCTATAAAATGTTTTAACAGCTAATTTTAATGTCTAATTTTGTAAACAAATATATATATTTTAAGCAGTTTTAAAATGTAATTTTAAATTATGTGATGAAATGTTCTTTCTTAATGCAAAACAGAACATTTTTAACAGAAACTGTAACATGTTTGTGCTTTCTTTCTTATCTGGATCATGCAAAAAAAAAAAATGTTTTGTGTTTGCTCTGCAGAACTTCCATTTCAATTTGCAATAAATCTGTATCTGAAGCCACTCTTGCGTGCTTCGTGGGGGGCTGACCTTGGTCACACTTTTTCAGCCTAGACTTACTGATCAATTATGGGCTTTCCCAGCCTCCTCGCTGCCTGGCATATGGGTGCTTAAAGGCGCCAGAGTGGAGGAGAAAGAGGGGTATCATTTCATGTGGAGATCAGGGCCTATAGGCAGTGAATGGGTGGATTTAGAGGAGACTGTGAATGAGAGAAGGGGGTCCTCGCTTGTACCAAAAAAAAAAAAGAGAAAAGAATCTCCCACAGATCAGGGGAAGAGCCTTTTTGGGAATATTCATGATGAGGATGAGGAGGCATCATGAATTCATGTGTGTCTGTGAATCCCGCGGATCATCTTTTCGGTAAACACGATGTCCACAGAGCCAGGATGTCGTGCTTTCTGTCTGTGTTTGCGATGTAGTTTCGTGGATAGTGTTGCCTCTCCACAAAGCAATATGGGTTTTTGTGTACTCTCTGCTGTATTCCTTTTGTATCAGTAGAGGAACAGATGGAGAGTGGTAGAAGGACATAAAGAAGCTAAAACACACAGTCTTTCTTCCTCACAGCTAGCTACTCGCTGAAAAAGGTTTTCTCAAGCTTGCACTCAGACGTGCGCTATTTCAAGCATTTTAGACTTTTTCTCCCCCCCCCGCCCACATGTTTTGGTTTTTTTTTTCTTTTTCTTTTGGTGTTGTGTATTTCCAAGACGTGGGCCCGTGGTGCACAGTCTGTCTGCTGATTGTAACAGTGTCTGCTCAGGATATTTTGCATAGTAACGGCCCCCAAAGGCACACTTTTCTCCACCATACGTTGTTCTTTTAGGTGTTACGCATGTTTTTGCACATCACTGTCCTGCAGCTTCTTCAACGTTGTTGGACCCCCCTTAAGACCCTTGATTAATACTCGGGACACAAGGCCAACCTGATGCTCGCTTACTTACGCCTGGCCTCATTTTACAGATGACACAAAGGCTCCCATGTTCGGTAAAAGGTCCGTGACCCACCAGACGGTCACAAAGCCCTTCTCCTCCCTCATGTCACCTAAGCATGGGTTCCCTCACTGGGCCTTGGTGGCGTTCCTGTCCCCCCTTCCTTTATCAGTCCTTCCAGCCCTGAATGGGCTCTGTGGTTGGTCAATAAATTCAGTGATTCAGGGGGTGGACAGTTGCAGCCGTGTTAACGTTTGTTCACAGGCTTGTCGGAGGGAAGGGCCCCGCCCCACGGCCCTTTGTCTCCTGTGGTCTCTCATCAGGTTAGAAGTCAATGGAGGGCCTTGTGCGGAGGTGGCAGGGGCATGGATGGAGCCGCCTCTCACATGGCCTTCACACAGGGGGAGGACCGGTTCGGATCACTGCGACACTTGTTAGAGTGAGGCCGCACAACATTTGCCGGGGTTGCTCTCCCTGAGGGCGCTTTAAACAAACTAATGGTTAGAGGCTGCAGAGTTGCACTGGGGTAAGATGATCTGCACTCGGAGGCCTGCGGTGGCCAAACTGAAAAGGAGCGCACAAGTGTATCTTACAATCTCCATTTACAGATCTGACTGAGAGCAAAAAGAGGTCAGGCCTTCATTTACGGTGACACTATTTAAATTTGGACTAGAATGGAACCAATGCATTTCAGTGGCCCCTGAAGGTGCCACAGTGTTGCTGAGTTATGGCCGTTTTCTCAGGCTCAGCTGGGCCGAAGCATGGGAACAGACACAAACGGGAGAAAAGGGAGACAGAGAGCCATAGATGGAGCAAGACACAAACAGTGGAGGGCTTTAGGAGACAGAAAACAGTGGACAGAAAAAGACGCACTGTGACTGAAGAGGGACTTAGAGGCATGACTGAGGCCTAACTGTCATGAGAAGATGAGAGTTGCCATGGCCACCCAGGAGCCACCCAGCAAGCATGTGAGCAGGGGAGACTCGGGGGCCAGGGGCCTGGGCCTGGGCTGGTGGATCACATGCACTAACCAGGGATTATGTGCATAAGTGATGAGTGCTAAGCCGGCAGGTGAAGAAGGGAGGCCCGGGGACAAGGAGCGGGCCATCCCTCAGGACGGCTCCCTCTGTAAAGAGCAGGGACTTTTTTTTTGCCAAGTGAGGCTGATCTGCTGTGTGAAGGGGACTCAGCCAGAGGTCCTCGAGTGCTGAAAGGGCATCCCCCAGGCTGCTTTCACAGCATAAGTGGCCAAAACGCTGGTCTTGTGAGTCATCTTGAGTGGCAAGAATGGGGCATCTTCACATTCATAAATCCCAACACAAACACACTCATGGATATAGACTAAGCTTGGGTGAGGATAAGCGCCACATGGTGGGACATCATCAGGGCTCTTCTTGAGGGACGCTTTTTGATTGTTGCAAATATTAAAAGAACAGATCACTCAACACACAAACAACAAAAAAAGATCCAGTTTAACCCCTAGCTAAGTTTATTTTACGGTATATTTATAGACAAGACGCTCTTTTTCTAGGCAGGATCAGAAGGTTCACAAGTTGCTTTACTGCAGCGAATCAGCGCTCATCATATCAATGGCCTTACAGGAATGTGTTTGAACCATGATGGCACAAAGAAATCACATTCCCAAAGATTCCACGGAGAGAAAACAGTTCACCAATCTACCCCCAGTACCTTTTCAAGACGGTGGTATCCCTGAACATATTAACATGTAAATACACTTAGATACTTTGACAATGCACTGAAATGCATATAATCTACATGCTAACTAGCGCTTTAAAGAGTTTCCACTGCTGAATGTGGTTTAGGCAACACTTTCATGTCTGGGTTTTAAAAATTAAATGTGAGGCCTCTCTTAGAATTTCTCAAAGCGGTTTTCAATTTGATGAGGGATAAGGCGATGACTGGGTTTCCCTTTCAAAGGGGGAGACCCAGATTTCAATAAGACTTCAGTCTCCTTGCCTTTGGCTTCAAGTTGAAGATCTAAATGATGCCTTTTTCTTTTATGAGAAGAAGAAGAAACCCTATGTTAGGTAACAGATGGCAGGTTGTTGTGCTGAAATACCAGTTGCTATGCTCCCCCTTTTCCTCCGCAGCTTCACTTGCCATAGCTAAGCATCCCATCAGAAGCTGGTGTACTGACTTGGAATAAGCTGACTTGAAACTGCTCAGGTTGTTGTTGACAAACATGAGCCTAGATGAGTCTGCTAATCTCCTGGTCCTTTATCTGCTCTTTATTGCCGTATAAACAGGGCTGAATACACCAAAAAAACTAAACCTCTGTTTGCAGCCTTCTCTTATCTCACGCAGGGTTTAATCTGATGCCCTCTCCCTCTTTTTACATCTCTGCCTCTGCTAAATCTGCTAAATTCAGCCATATTTTTGATTCAGCACATCACCATGACAACCGGTTATTTCCCATCCCGGAGAAGCCGCCCCCCACCTCACTCCCATGCTCCTCTTCTCCATTGATACTGCTACCTCCCCCCTACCCCTTCTTTTTTTTTGTCCAAATAAAACAAAGCAAAGAGTGAATGCTCTCTGAGGTAGGTAAATGTATTCAGTGACATCAGCCAGGACTAGTCTATTCTGCTGGATTCCTGTACCACTTGTTTCCAGCCTTGTCTGGGGGCTGGACACTCTGTTGGCCCCATTGTCCCACGTGTATTCCTCACAGGCCTGCAATTAATGGAAGCCTTGTCTAAGGCCTCTGGAGCAGAAACTGCTGTTGGGGAGGGGGACAATAGGCGGGCCGAGCTGGGGCTGGGAGTCGCAAAGGGTGGGAGGGCCTCCCCCTCCTTCTTCTTTAAGGGGGAATTCAAAGGCCGAAGACGGGACGGAGAGTAAGCTGAGCACTGGATGAGATGTTTAAGCGATCCCTTCTGTCTGTGCCCTCCCCTCCTGGCTTGAGATGTTTTCATGCCAGCAGTTGAAAGGGAATCTTTGCAGTATTTGATGATGAGGATGGTCATTTCACTGCCCACACAGAGGTGGCGGCTGGGTGGAGGAGGAATCACGGCCGCAGCCTTCAGGTGAAGATGGGAGAGGAGTGTGACTGCTGCCCGCTTTCTAACCTCTACCTACAAAGACATTTCATCCATACGTGACTTTTAATCACTTTTACTGTTGTTATTTTAATGCTTTACATGTGCCGAGAAAAGAATCGCTGCTATGTTTTGTGCTGATCGTGGTATAAATCTCTGGACAGGGGACAGCTTCACATGCCAGAGCTATATCTTTATAGAGAGGTTAAACTGCTGGACTTAAAGCATGTTTGAAATTATGTTGTGAATGAAACAATGTTTTAAGGAAACATGGGAGGGAAAAAATTTGTTTGTGCAGGTAAAGATAACTCTATACTTGTGTCATAGGGTGTAATTAGCTACATCCTCTAATTGAAAAGGAGGCAAATCTTCCTGAAGGCAAAGGCTATTGATCATAAGTAGTATTTCATTATATTCATTCTTCTTGTATGATATGTATTAAGTGTTATATTATCCGCTTTCCAAAGAAATCTCATAAAGTTTGAACATTTCTTAATGTTGAACACTGACCAAACTCCCAAACTCCCCCTTGATAAACACCTGACTGTATGATCGCTGGCATCGACATGCTGTGTGTTTGGAAATGTAAGCCAAATGTGGTCAAAGTATATAAGAATCAAGAATAATTCATACATTTAAGGCCCTGTTTTCCTCAGCTTGTCACTATCTGTCACGCGTTACACCCGGATAGCTCGGACCGCCCCACCCTAGAGTTCCCACACTGATACAGATCAGGATTGTGCTGTAAACCTAATTTCTACATCGCCATCTGCACAACCGGGGCCTGTTTATGTCCCCCAACAGAGCTGGTAGGATGTAATTTAGTGCTGCACCAAGTGTCTCATCTGCTGCATGCAGAACCTCTTTGTAATTTAGCAGCTTTGAAAGCATTCAGCTTCAAGATTAACAGAGCATTTAATGCAAGCAGCCACTGAATCTGATGCTCTGATGTGAGTGTTTGTGTGTCACGGATCAAAAGGTTTTGTGTTTGAGAGCATCTGAACTGTGTGT